TAAATTTGAACAAGTGTAAACATGACTAATTTTTTACCTGGAACATAAAAATTTTATAGCAAGATGTATGCAATATGTAATAAATAAAATTTTTAATAAACATTAAATGTTCAATAATCAATTGTAAATTGTTTTTTTTTTAATTTGACTTATCCAGGTGTAAGCCGGATTTCTTCATTTCAGTTCTGAGTTAATGTAAATTTCTAAATTAATACATCAAAATAAACTGCTAAAATGACATCTTTCTTAAATTACCTTTTCCTTTGATAAAAATAAAATATCTACACCACTGGTGCCATAGACTGATTCAGTGTTTTAATTTTTATGGAATACCAATTTGTAGTGGGAAATGTAATGTTGGTTGCCTATCGTCGCGGTCACGTGGGTCTCGGACATTAATGAAAGCCCTGTATGTATGTGTACAAATTGTATTGTTATTCAAAAATGTGTTATTGATTTGTAAATGCATGATATACTGGACATATTCATTGTTGTGACATCTTATTTTTTGTTTTAATTTATTTTATTTTCTGATACAACTTTTTTATATACATTTTTGCTGTTTTACCTATATACTCTGTATTTTTGTTGTATTACCTGTTTATATATATATTGTTCCTGTTGGATAGTTTAGTCTAAATAAATAAATAAATTTTGGGTAGTGTGAGGAATATTCTCAGCATTATAAGTATATTAGGTAACTTTCCTTCAAGTTTAAACCCAAAAATAACTTTTAATAAACCCAATGGGCCGGAATCAATAAGTTCTTTCTTACAGTCTATTGTAGTTACTAAATCCCGTAGACGCACGCACTGAAGCTTAGACTCTTCTCTGTCAATATCTTTAGGAGCTTGGTCGATGTTGCATTCCTCATCATCTACACTCAATATTATTGCAGGCCTTAGGAAGGCATTTTGAAGCTGCTGGAACCTTTCCCAAGTTTCAGCAGTTACTCTATCTAACAAAGTCTATTTCTGTTAACTTCTATAGCGTTATTAAAATTTATTTGTAACGATTTCCTGTCATGTTGACTTTGCATCTTTTGCGCTCCAAAGTGCGCTTCAAACCCTTGCCCGTAGCAGCAATCAGAACCTCCCATCAATGTGTGAACGTAGAAAAGAAAACATAGCAACATTCCAATGTGCTGAGGAAAATCAGTACAAATTCGGCATTAGGATTGAAATATTTTATTTGTTGCTGCACACCTCTTTGTCTTCCGGTCATTGTAACAGTATTATCATAAGCTTGCCCTCTATAATTCATAATGTCGAACCCATCAGTTTGAATGCAATTGAAAGTTTAAAAATAAACAAAACAAACATTTACCTTAACACTCCTATATATTCGACGAATGGTATAAAACAAATAAACTTAATTTTACAATAGCTAACAAAGGACCCCACACAAATCATATGGGAATGGATCCCCGGTGGAACTCTCTCAAATCTTGCGAATGAACTCTTCAGAGCATCCTGATCAAAAGTTCTCTTGGGCACAAAACCCGGAAACCACTTCCAACCCTCCAAAATCACTCCCAAAGGTCAGGGGATGCATTCGGCTCAATATACCACATCACCAAAAAAATTATCGGACCCACACATGCAATATATGGTTTCCAATGTATTTTTGAGCGCTGGACATCATCATTTTTGCTCTAGCACGTATCAGTCTTCAGCAAATCGCTGAAGAAAGAACAATGTGGTCTGTGATTTATATGCGATATGTGGTTTCCGGTGTATTTTTGCACACTGAGCACGATTCTGAGGTCAGATGTGCTTCAGTTACCTTAAGCCTTCAACTAATCGCTGAAGAAGTTTCAGTAAACTAAAGAATTACAGAACACTATGTTCTTTCTTCAGTTTTTGATGCTTCTTTAGTTATTAATTGAAGACTTAAGCACATTTGATCTCAGAATCTTGCTCAGCGTGCAAAAATAGACCAGAAACCAAATATTGCATGTGAATCACAGGAAACAATATTCTTCAGTTTTCAGTTTTCTGACGGTTCTTCAGGTTGAAGACTTAAGGTAATTGAAATACTGTTCGGATTAGAAAAGTGTCATACTATCTGACTGTTACATTGAATCTACAATGTTTGAACATCCCAAATCTTAACTGGAATTCACAATCAGTAACCCAAGTATCCCCGTACCGTAAATGTTTGGATTATAAGAGGTTCACATTCTCTGTCCACAATTTTGGGACTGGTATTGTTTTTCATTCCTACCTTGCACTTGTCAATGACGAAAGAACATCTGAGCAGATAAGTTTGATTTGATTGAGTTTGATTGATAAGTTTGATTAAAGGTTAAATATATGAAATATATGATGATTAAAGGTTAATATATGAAACAACTAAAAATGGCAAGAAATACACAAAAAAATCACAGACAGATATAGACAGATGCAGACAGACGTATACACAGACAGAAGCAGACTCAGACAGACGTGGACACAGACAGATGCAAGCGCAGACACAGACATATGGGACCAGAAACTCATTACGTCCATGCCGCTGCTGTAACGCAGAAAATGGGTACCATTTTTTATATGAATCCGCATTTAGAGTTGATGTAAAATTCTTCTGTTTTCAGTAAAACGCTGAAGAATCATGGTGTTTTTTCTTCAGTTTTCTGAAGCTTCTTCTGCGATTTGCTGATACTGAAGACTGATACGTGCTAGAGCAAAAATGATGTATTCGTGTCCAGCGCTCAAAAATACACCGGAAACCATATATTGCATGTGTGGGTCTGATACTTATTTTGGTGGTGATGAATGCATCCCGTGACCTTTGGGGGTGATTTTGGGGGGTTGGGAGCGGTTTCCGGATTTTGTGCCCATAAGAACTTTTGATCAGGATGCTCTGAAGAGTTCATTCCCAAAATTTGTGAGAGATCCACCAGGGATCCATTTCCATAAGGTTTGTGTGGGGTCCTTTAGGTACAGGTGAAACTTTATCAAAAGATAAATAATTTCAATTCTGCAACGCTCTTCTAAATAACAAAAAAGTTGAAGAAATTAAATGTCACCTGCTCACCGTCACGTCTGAGTTGTTTAGACAGGACAATAAGACAATAATTAAAAGGACCTTCCTGGAATTCTTGAGATAAAGCAAGTCAACGTCTGCATCGTAAAGATAGCTCAGTTGTCGATATTTGCGAAAGAAATTCACGATCTCACTAGTAAAAAGTAAACTATGTCATTCAACCCGTTTTTCGACGAAGCAGGCTGCAATAGGCTGATATTCCCTACAATAGATGGCATCCTATTTTATTACAAAAACTAGTCACCTAACTAAGCTTAATATTAAAGACAAACACCAAAACAATGGCCAAGCAGGTGTACAGTGAACGCTATATAGTTTCAGAAGATATTTGCTCATGGATGAGCACAATCAGGTACAGAAAATTATATACCAATGCGTCAAGTACACGAGAGTTAAACCACCCACCCCACACTACCTAATAAGAAAATTACTGAAGGATCGCATTACATGAGCTGCACTGAGTCACTGCAAGACAATGTTCACTAGTCATAATACTCCATGTCAATTGTAATTCTTAATGTCACGTATGTAAATATAACCATACAATATAGTTACAAACTGTGCAATATTTATTCCATAAAAAATCACCGTATAAAATTTGACATGCGGTGTGCTCCAAGTGTCATCCCAATGCAGCCAGGACTGAGATTTACAATCCCACCGATTTAAACGCCAATCGGGATAAGTCACAAAACAAAAAGTGAAATTTGTTTTCTTATTTTGAAAAAAATATTTGAGGTTTTATTTAACTTCACATAAATATGTATATTTGTTTAGGTCAAATCTTACAACTCTATTTTGAACCAGTTTCACTTGTCCCATTGCCTTGAAATTCTGCATATGTGGTCCTAATGACAATATAATTATCTGATCTAATGATTATGGCCTGATGCTACAACCAGGATTAGCTAGCTCGGCCACTCTCCACATCTGTGTTGCCTGGGGCCGCGGCCCCTTTGCCGCTCCTCATGCTACGCCTCTGATTAGAAAGAGTAGAAAAGAGTACTGATGGAATTTGCAAATACTCATTGGCATCGTAATTCTAAGGTTCTAAGTTATACCAACTCCCTATATCTCTGCTGTTGGATGATGTATTTGTAAGTTATCTCCAATTAAATAAATTATGGACCCAAGTTTTATTAGTCTCTTCAAATCTACTGAGGTTTTTGAAAAAAATTAGATGTTTTTTTTTTACTCTCAACACCCATGTTTATATGAAAGTTATTGTGTGATATCATGTATTCTATCATCTGGTAAAGTTTCACAATTAAAACCTGGAACACCATATAGGTACTTTGTATAAATTATATCCAAATATTTTCAAAATATTAACAGATAAACTTTCTGATCATATAATGTTTTATTTCATGTTCTCTCTTTAAATTTAATACAATAGCTTCTTTTTATCTTCAACCTCAGTACTGTACCTCTCGTTAGATACGATAAGTTTCTTTTACAAGTATTTTGTATTCGAATATTGTTTGAATGTTGCATTCAGGATTCAAGTAATCATAGATACTTTTATAAACAGAGTTCAGTATTCGTGGATTTCTTTCTTTTCCTATATTCATACCCAACTCTATTCAATTCTGCAATGCAGATAACAGGCTTAGATGTTTTTGTTAAATTACTGAAATATGATTCTTAAATATAATTCGGATTACCGCTATTTTGGATTACGCATATTTGAATTTCCATGTTCTACACAAGTTGTATCTTTCATATATGTATAAAATTACCTCTCCAATATACTAACGGAATTTCTAGACACACTATATGAGTTTAAAAACATCTTTTTTGTTTATTAAATTTCGTAGGTTTGTATTCTTGTAAAAAAATGTTTTTAACTAAAAAAATCATTGTTAAATTTTTGATTAAATAAATATTTAATTATATCCAAAATTTCTGCTAAAAGAAAATTGTTATAATAGAAATATTAATGTTCAAAAACTTACTTATACACAAGTGGGAAATCATCAGTACTTATTAGCCCTAAAGCAGGACGATGTTCGGGATCTCCAGGTTTACGTGTAAGACCTTTCATGCCACACACAACTTTGTCTGTGTCTGCAATTACTTCCAGAACCTCACAACAGACATAGTCATTCATCATGTAACTACGTGAAACACCTTTTTTGTCTACAGCTGGAATAATATTCGCCACTGGACAAAAGGCCTGAAAATAAATTAAAATTTTTATTATAAGATCAACTATTTGAATTTAGCTATATTTAGGGACTTTGGTGTTTTTTATAGATATAGCCCAGGAGCCAGCTACCGTTTTGAGTTAGTCATTTGGAAAACGCTGAAAATTTTTCCTACGTTTCATTTGGTATCAGTAGTATGTGAATCAACAACCTCCAGCCCGCGCAGTTCCGGGGGGTATAGCTGCAGCAGTCTCCCACACGTAATAACAAAATAAAAAAACTAATACCGCAAAAGCTGAGATTTTGTCGACAACTTAATTATGGTATAAACAAAAGAAAGAACACAATCAGCTGACTTTAGAGTAGGGGGTTATGCCTCAGCTTTTCACCTAAACAAGTCAAAAATATGCGCGAGAGAAACTGATACCGAAAAAGCTGAAATTTGGTAAAGTAATAGTCATCCTAATCAGTTATACGAAAGAAATTGTCCGCTGAAGTTTTTGCGGTGTATAAGTGCTCAGTTTACGAGTTGAAGATGCAGCACATCGTTATGCGCGCGGGCGCATTGCATCGTTAACTTTATCAGCTGAGCACTTGTCAATCACTAAATATAAAACTGATCATTTTTTTCATTTAACTTATTAAGTTAGCTATTGTATTACCAAATCTCAGCTTTTACGATAGGAGATATCTATCATATTTTCATTTTTCAAGTCTTACTAGTAATTATATAAAACTATGCAACTTTTTTCAAATATTTATTTACAATAAACGATTTCACGAATTTTTCAATTTAAAGAGTTTTAATAAATAAATATTCACATTTAAATACTTATGTATACATAACATAAAATTGAACTGCATCAACATTTGCTGCGGACAACGTACATTGCAAATATTTGGGCACACNTAATTTCAGCACTTTAGACCACAGTATCACAGGAAATATTATATCACGTTCAATATTAAACACGAAACATAAAGGACAATATAGTTTCAATTAGATTTTTATTAACTACCAGTTCTCTCACTGGAAATGTACACTGAATGCTGATTAATTGATACAATTAATAAATATATGGAAAATTTTCGTTTGCGTCCGAATGACGGACAAATAAGTATAATAATAAAGCCATTCTGAAAATTAACCTTTCAATTAAAAATTATATTGACATTGCCAGTGTTCAAGATAGAACAAACAAGAGAAATTATTCAATTTATTACGCTATTTAGCACATATGGTCTGTATATTAAAAAATTTGTTTTAAAGTGCATAAATAAATAAGTAATAATAATAATAATAATTATTATTATTATTATTATTATTATTATACAGGGTGTTTGTAAATAAGTGCAAAATATTTTAGGGTTGGTTGCCGAAGTTATTTTGCGAAAAAAAGTTCATATAAATATAGGTCAAAATATGCTTCGTTTCCGAGATACAGTGTTTAAATTTAAATGTTTTATTTATTTTAATTAATTATTTCAGATTTTTAAAGATATTGACCCGAAATTTTTAAAACGCTTTGGAGGGATAAATGTGTATTTTTTGGGGTGGTCCGAATATTTCTACTTGCACCAGTGGCGTTCGTGTGAAAATGCCACAACCTCTTTTAATAAACAAAAATGGTACGCCACCGACTTTTTCCCATTTTGATATTTCTTCAGAAATCCGCCATCAATTCTGAATGAAATTAGTCCCTTCAATTTTTTCGTAGGATGTATCATTTTGAGGAAAAAAATAAAACAATATTTTATTGCAAGTTGTGAATTTTTAATTTTTATTGATACATCATTATCTAGTAGGTTGCTGAAAATATTTCTAAATAAAATGCAACCATCAAATTTTGAGTCAATATCTTTAAAACTCTGAAATAATTAATAAAAATAGATAAAAAAATTAAAATTTAAACACTGTAGCTTGAAAACGAAGGATATTTCGACCCTATAAAATATTTATTTACAAACCGCGTGTGATGAGGAAGAAATGGCAGGAATCGACATTGACTCCAGCGACCATAGGTTTGAGGGTGATGAAACGGAAGATGAAATAGATAATATTCTTTGACACATAACGTTTATTGTAAATAAATATTCGAAAAGTTGTATATTTTTATATAATTTAAAAAGTGAAAAAATAATACATATCTCATACCGCAAAAGCTGAAATTTGGAAATATAATAGCTAACTTAGTAAGTTAAATGAAAAAAATGCTCAGCTTTATATTTAGTGAAGGAAAAGTGCTCAGCTTATAAAGTCAAAGCTGTAACGTGCTCGCGCGCATACGATGTGCTGCACCTTCAACTCGTCAGCTGAGCACTTATACACCGCAAAAACTTCAGCGGACAATTTTTTTCGTATAACTGATTAGGATGACTATTACTTTACCAAATTTCAGCTTTTGCGGTATCAGTTTACCTAGCGCATATTTTTGACTTATTTAGATGAAAAGCTGAGGTATAACCCCCCCCCTCTAAAGTCAGCTGATTGCGTTTTTTCGTTTGTTTATAACATAATCAACATGCAGACAAAGTCTTTTGCAGTATTAGTTTTTTTTAATGATTATTTTACGTGTGTCATGCTGACGCAACTACACCCCCCGGAAGTGTGCGAGCTGGAGGTCGATTCTCTTACTAGTGATACCAAATGAAGCGTAGGAAAACTTTTCAGTTTTTGCTCTTTTGGTCGCTGGCTCTCGGGCTAATAGTATGATGATAGCACAGACAGGAGTAGCAGAGGGGGGGGGGGGAGACTTATAGTTTTAGCAGGGAAATAGATATAACCCATATGTGGGATTCAACTGTAAAAATTAAAATTCAGAAGCCGCAAAACAATTTGTCATACTTGAGATCTTTGAATGTATGGGTTTTTGATTTTGTTCAAACATTTAACTTACATTCTTAAATTATGTTTTTTTTTTTTATTTGGGTATGTTGCTATCTGTGGAAGAAAGAAGACTGATCCTTTTGGTCCAAGGTTTTATTTTATCTATTTTAAATATATACAGGGTGTTTTTGAATGGAGTAGCATAAATGATACCAGTGAATCTACATTTCAAAAGAACACGATCTGCAAAAAATCGCCTTAGTAAAATGTTCACCCCTGAAGAGATATGGCCCATCAGTTTCCAAAAAAATTATGAAAATTGGCTGTAATTTGAAAACCGAACGAGGTACAAATAACAAATTTTTTACAGGTTGTTTACTAATACAGATGCGAGTTTTCAACTATTTTTCGAAAATTTTAACCCCACGAAAGGGGTTGAAATAACCACCCCTCAAGCCATTTTTGCCATAACTTTTATATTTCGTAAAAACTCGATATCCAAAAATACGCATTAGATAAACTGGTTCTTTTAGAAACTTTTACCTCTCTAGCAATTTTCCTTTAAAACTTTTCGTTTATTAATAAAAAAATAAAATGTATTACCATTCACCTCACACCGTATATGACTGCAATCGATCAAAGAAAAACTAAGTGTGCTGCTGTCATGCCAGTTGTCACAATTAACTCTTCTGTAAGTTGTCACTGTTATCAGTTAAATACTTTTTGGGTGTAAATTAACAAGAATTATGCCAAATTTTACTAATGATGACTATGTGGACATGCTACAAGTGTATTTTGAATGGCGAAAAAACTGTGCTGCGGCAACAAGAGCGTATAATGAGAGATATCCAAATCGTCAAGTTCCCCACAGACAAACTTTTTCGGCGGTAGAACAAAGACTTCGGGAAACTGGAAAAATACAGCTGCATATTGAGGGTACCGGCCGAAGACCTACTGTTCGTACTATTTATCTTGAGGATGCAGTACTTGAAGAGTTTGACAAAAATCGTCAGAATAGTACGAGAAAAACAGCAATGCACTTAAATGTGTCCCATAGTGTTTGGAATATTGTCCATGATAATTTATTATATCCTTTTCACCACCGGCCAGTTCAAGCTCTACTTGAACCAGACATGCATAAGTGAGTTGTTTTTTTGCGAATCGTATCTTAATATTCTAAGAAATAATTTGAATTTTGCCTCAAAGATACTTTTCACAGATGAAGCAACTTTTCAAAGACATGGTTTAACCAATATCCACAATCTTCATTCCTGGGCTCCTGAAAATCCTTACGAAGTATCTACATATGACAACATTTCAACATAATTTTAGTTTAAACATTTGGGCAAGAATTGTAGGAAATGTGCTTGTCGGCCCTTTTGTTTTACCTCATCGACTTGGTGCTGTTGAATATTTGCAGTTCTTAAATGAGCATCTACCACGACTTTTGGAGGAAGTACCGTTAAATGTACGTCAGGCCATGTGGTACATGCATGACGGAGCTCCTGCTCACAGCACTGTAGTAGTTAGGCAGTGGCTTAATTCAAATTACCCGAATCGTTGGATAGGTCGCGGCAATTAGGCACCTATCTCTTGGTCTGCACGTTCTCCCGATCTAACGCCCATGGATTTTTTCTTTTGGGGACATTTAAAAAGTATTATTTATGCGACCCCAGTTGACAGTGTTGAAGAGCTGCAGAAAAGAATATTCGTGGCGGCTGATGAGATTCGCAACAATCCCATAATTTTTGCTCGAGTCCATAACAACTTTGATAAACGTGTTAGGTTGTGTTTAGAAAGATATGGCAATTATTTTGAAAATGTCCTTTAACTAAGTTTTTTGTTTTTTCTCTTTTTGATTATAAATTATTTCTTGGTTTCGTTTTCATTGTACTTCTANGGGTCGTCTGCATTTTTTCTACATACAATAGTGTTATGTTAGATAACTTCGTGGTGATATAAATTAAATTACCTTAATTTTTCCCATAGAATAGCTGCCTTGGTCTTTGTTCGTATTTAGGAAGCATCTTTATACTGAGAGAAAAACCCCTCTTTCAAATATACACCCAGTAATATTATAACATTAACTATTTAATGAAACGTTAAAATTCAAGGTTTTTTCATTAAAAACCCCATTCCGCTGAATTAACATGACAGTTATTTTTTACCCATTTGCCACCCCTCATATCATACTAGGTGTGA